GCTGGCCGAGCGGGCCGGCGGCTTCTCTGGGCCCGGCCGGGACACCTCGGCGCGCGGTGCTCAACCCCGGGACAGCGGGTACGTGACGATTCGCACGTGACGGGCAATGAACGGCCGGCTGGACCGTCTCGGCCTCCCTCCGCCGCTGCCGGCCGCATCAGGGACTGAGGCTTCCTGTGTGGCGCACTGCACTTTGGGAGATGTAGTCTCCTGGTGGGGATCGTGGCACAATGAGAAGGCCTGGGCTGTAGAATTCTGAAAGACCGCTAGATGGCAGCGATAGCGTGGTGCCATCTAGCGGTTGCCTGGGGCTTTGCAGTCCAGTTCTGGCAACCCCGTATAACGGCGGGCGTCTTTTCCTTTTTTCCCCCCCGTGGGGAGCGAAGAGGAGTTGGGTTTCCTGCGCTTTGTTTAGCGTTTGTTAAGGATCAAATCGGAATTCTCTGTCGGATTGCTCCGAAATCCAGCCTTATCTCTGTTATTGCCAGGGCTGCTCACGGAATAGAATAGAAATAGAAAGTACAGATAAAATAGATAAGTACTGTACAGATAAAAGTTGTGGTCAGGCTTAATGCGCGAAGCTGTTCCTTGTGGTTTGTCCACTGTGGTTTCTAGATTAGAGCATTTTGCAAACTCGATCATTTGTTTCTTCAGTAAACCATGGATTAGCATATTAGCTGGTTTGGCACCTGTTTTAAGCCAGGTTGCTAGAGAATTAGCTGCTACTTTCAGAACATAGTGTGTAACTTTGAATCAGACTTAAGAACAGATGCCTCTTTCGGGGAATTAGTCACAGTTGAAGATGGTGATGTTTTAGAGAGGTTTTAGCTTATCAACTAGAGAACAAGGACTTCTTTTTTCCTTGATTGTCTATAAACTACTCTAGAACTTTTAAACCTTTTTTTTGGTGTGCCTTCGAGTCAATCTTGACTCCTGGTGACTACCTGGACCAGTCCTTGCAGTTTTCTTGGCAAGATTTCAGAAGTGGGTTGCCATTGCCTCCTTCCTAGGGCTGAGAGAGAGTGACTGGCCCGAGGTCACTAGAACTCCCGGTCTCCCGGTTTCTAGCCTGATGCCTTAACCACTAGATCAAATTGGGTCTCCCTAGAACTTTTGGCAAGGTTAAAATGTGGCATAAAACGTGTTGAATAAATAAAAAGCCTTTATAACACAAGCTTGCCAGGGACTCCATTTTCAATTTTCAGGGTGTATGAAAAAATGTAATAGCGATGAAGCGAAGAATTGAATGTTGAGTTAAAAGAGAGCATTAGAAATGAAAGCTTTAGAGCATAAGCATTCAGAATAAAGTCTTTTTTTCTCAACATGCAATTATCTTCATTGGTTGTGTTTTATGATAAGCTACAATATGTCAAAAAATCAACTAATTGTGGTTTAAGAAAATTACATGATGGCTTAACATGATACAGAAACACATCCAGTGATTGGTTCACACATCACATTAAAACATGAGTCATTGCTCATTATTCTTACTGGGTGAGTGTCAGGAGACCTCAGAAGGGTCCTTGCGCATGTACTAGTATACAAATGTATGCCAACGGTGTCATCATGTGAAGGAGCTCTTTGCATCTTGATAGGTCCATAGTTACACCACCAAATGCATGGCTTTTGGAGAAGCCAGCTCCCCCCATCAGATACGCTGGGAAGATGTCCTCTTCCCTAAAGTGAAGACTCAGTTGCGTTTTCCTCTATAGAAACTTTCTGCATGGCACTTATAAAAATAATGTGGGCACAGAATTGGAGTCCACGTAGTATTTGCTGTCACAAAACAAATAACTGAAACTTTAATTTCTCTTAGATAAACTTCTAATAAATATTTTTATCATACTGCTCACAAGATACTTTTTTTAATAGGCTCTCCATCTTGGGAGAACCAGATACAGAGCTACCAAGGTAGCACCCCAAATTGTCTTGAATGTTCCTGAAACAAAAATATCGACTCTGGAAAATGGCCTGAGAGTAGCTTCTGAAGATTCTGGACTTACAACATGTACAGTAAGTAACCCTTGTCAGTGAAGAGCTGTCCTTTCTGAGATACACAGAATCTCCATATGCGACTGATCTGTCACTAGAATGTTCTGCTTTTCTTCGGAAATTTCCTGCTCCATCCACCCCCCCCCAGCACATTCCAGGAGTGACTGTGCTCTTACATCAGTGGATTTGGGTCCAGACTCTATCTGGAACATCATGAACCACTTCTTGCCCTCGACAGTTCATTTCCACCTCT